TTTAATTTTAAACACAATTGATTGTGAGAAAAAAAAAGTTGATTATATTAATTTAAAATGATGTCTCAATAATTCATTGGGTGGACAGTAAATTAGATAATAAATTTTGAACAACAGATCTCAATCTATGATAATTAGGAGCGAGTCATTTTTTTTTTTATGTAATAACATTTTGAATGGAGGATTGCTTCATGTACAAAAATCATTTTCGCATAACACTTACAAATGTGGGTCCTGCGCATAATTTTTTTTTAATACATGGTGGAGCCCACCCTATGTGAGTATTCTGTGAGCCCCTGTGAAAACAATTTTGTACGTGGACATTAATTCTTTGTGTTAGGGTGCCAAGTTACTCACACTAGCGGGCCCCACATGTTTAAAAAAAATGCAAAAAAAATACATCCCTCCCCTCTCTATTAGTGGCCGGCAGTGAACACACCCCGTCCCCCTATGCGTGTCTCATATTGCCCTANGGGCCCCACATGTTTAAAAAAAATGAAAAAAAAATACATCCCTCCCCTCTCTATTAGTGGCCGGCAGTGAACACACCCCGTCCCCCTATGCGTGTCTCATATTGCCCTAATTCTTTTGATTAAATTCCCGTTCCCACTTCACCTTCCCAGTAATTTCGAAGCAACTGTTACTTTATTCCTCGTGGATAAATCTATATGTACATTATTGTACATAATGGATTACATAGATCCATGTGGAAGAAATCTGGTCGTGGATGTGAAGTGTGGAAAAGTCAAAAATTGTAGACTACCGATGGATGCGCGCCACGTGCCAATTATGTAATGTATTATGTAAATGAATATGTACTTGTAGTATGGTCCATTTTTCGTTCATGCTAGTGGGCCCGTAACTTTTCACAATTTTTTTTTTGTTTTTTTTTTCCAACTCAACGAGTGAACGCACATCTTTAAATTATTCCAATTCATATCTGTCATTTGCTTTCATATACGTTGGAAGTTGGGTTCAGAATAAAAGATATGCATTGAGAGTTTCTCTCTCTAACCACTTAAGCAATATCTATAATTGCGTGTAGTTGAAGTTGTTGAAGCTGAACAGAGATGTCTAGGAATTATGACAGCTGGAAGAGGTTGGTGGTAGCTGTGCTGCGGCGTGAGCAGGATCGGAAAGTGGCCCGTGCGGATTCGATAAGCCCAAGCTCCAGTTCCAGTTCCAGTTCCAGTTCCAGTTCCAGTTCCATTTCCTTATCACTGGATTTTGATGAACTATCCTTGAGTTTGCCAAGAGAAGTACAAAATGTTGAAATTGGAAGGCATTCAAGATTAGATTCAAGTAACAGTTCTTCCATAGCCTACTTGAGCATTAAAGGTGAATATAGGTTTAGCCGTTTAGAAATAAATAGATTTCTTTTTAATTTTAGATTTCAAATTCCAGTATTCAAAATGTAAGAAAATAGTTTTGGCTCATATTGCTTCTCCTCAGATCACCCCCTCTACAAAAAGCCAGCTGGAAAATCCATATTTTCTCTGGTAAGCTTTCAGATCCTTAGTCTATGTATGCATATTCTTGTGGAATTGATTTGATGGGCTTCTTTTCCCTTTTAATGCAAGGGACACCATGTATAGCTACAATATAAAGATAGATTTTCCTTTTTAATCAAGAATTAATCGACGGAAAAATGTCTGATGCTGCTGTAGAATTTCTGCTAGAAAACTTGAAGCAGCTGCTTCTTAACGATGCAAATCTGATTCTTGAAGTTAATAGTCAGGTGGAATTTCTTTACAATGAGTGTTGAATTTAATACAAAAGGAATGATAGTTTATTAAGACAATTTTGCACTCTATACAATTTTAATGTATGGGAAACACACACTTTGATACTCAAACTAATGCAGTGTCTAATTATTAAAATATCCCACTGACTCTCTCTCTCTAACCACTCAGTCACTCACTATCAAAGCACTCTTGCTGCTTTTCTTTCTCACTCTCTTTCTCTATCTCTCTGCTTACGCTAACAGACTCTCTCATCACTCTCTGCACTGCTTACTCACATCAAAGT